GCGGAGGTGCGTCTTGCGCAGATCACCGCGAGAGGGGCTGCGATCTGCGAGACTGTCGCCACTGTCGGGGTGGTCCTGGGAGGACAAGCGGAAGTGCGTCTTTCGCAGATCACCACGAGACCTCGCCGTCCCCTGCGGGGCTGCGACCTGCGAAACTGTCGCCACTTTCGTGGCCTCCTGGGAGGCCCAGCGGGAGTGCGTCCTACGCAGATCACCGTGAGACCTCGCCGTCCCCTGGGGGGCTACACTGTCGCCACTTTCGTGGGTTCCTGTGAGGCCCAGCGGAGGTGCGTCTGACGCAGATCACCACGCGACCTCGCCGTCGCCTCGGGGGCTGCGATCTGCGAACCTGCCGCCACTTTCGTGAGCTCCTGGGAGCCCCAGCGGAGGTGTTTCCTACGCAGATCACCGTCAGACCTCGCCGTCGCCTGGGAGGCTGCGATCTGCGAAACTGCCGCCACTTTCGTTGGCTCCTGGGAGACCCAGCGGAGGTGCGTCTGACGCAGATCACCGCGAGACCTCGCCGTCCTCTGGGGGGCTGCGATCTGCGCAACTGCCGCCACTTGCGGGCTCCTGGGAGGCCCAGCGGAGGTCTTACGCAGATCACCATGAGACCTCGCCGTCCCCTGGGTGGCTGCGATCTGCAAAACTGTCGCAATTTGCGCGAGCTCCTGTGAGGCCCAGCATAGGTGCATCTTACGCAGATTACCGAGAGACCTCGCAATCACCTGGGGGGCTGCGATCTGCAAAACTGTCGCCACTTTCGTGGGCTTGGAGGGTCTGCTCCCACGAAGTATGACTCCAATCGTATCTCCTCAGTGTGTTCCCACACTCCCTCGTGAGAGTTGTCGCAAACCACGCGGAAAACACAACGCAAATACACAACGCAAATACACAACGCGGCGCGACGTAATACACAACGTAAAAACACCACGTAAAACACGACGTGTACGCGCGTTGTGTATTTACACTGTGTATTTACACTGTGCGTTTACGCTGTGTGTACGCACGCTGTGTATGTATGGTGTGTGTTTACGTTGTGTGTTTACGCTGTGTGTTTGCGTCCTGTGCGTGGTGTCGTGTGTGTCGCGTAGTGCTGTTATGTCACGCTGTGTGTAAGCGTGCTGTGTATTTACGCTGTGTATATGAGTGCTGGTGTGTATTCACGCTGTGTATATGCGTGCTGTTGTGTATGCGCGCTGTATCTACGCTGTGTAGTCACGCTGTGTATTTACGCGGCGTGTTTACGCAGCATGTACGCGTGCTGTGTATTACGCTGCGGAACGGTCTGCTTTCCCGCAGCCTGGAGTATCTCTGCGTGGTTGCGTTGTGTATATGCGTGATGGTATGGATTTACGCTGTGTATATGCGTGCTGGTGTGTAGTTACGCTGTGTATATGCGTGCTGTTATGGATTCGCGCTGTGTATATGCGTGCTGTTGTGTATTCGCGCTGTGTATATGCGTGCTGTTGTGTATGTACGGTGTGTATGTGCGTGATGTTGTGTATTCGCGCTGTGTAAATGCGTGCTGTTGTGTATTCCCGCTGTGCATACGCGTGCTGTTGTGTATGTACGTTCTGCATGCGCGTGCTGTTGTGTATTTACGCTGTGTATACGCGTGCTGTTGTGTATTTACGCTGTGTATACGCGTGCTGTTGTGTAGTCACGCTGTGTATACACGTGCTGGTTTGTATGTACGCTGTGTATATAAGTGCTGTTGTTTATTTACGCTGTGCATACGCGTGATGGTGTGGATTTACGCTGTGTATACGCGTGCTGTTGTGTATTTACGCTGTGGATACGCGTGCTGCTGTGTATTTACGTTGTGTATACGCGTGCTGTTGTGCATGTACGCTGTGTATATGCGTGCTGTTGTGTATTTACGCTGTGTACATGCGTGCTGCTGTCTATTTACGCTGTGTATATGCGTGCTGCTGTGTAGTTCCGCTGTGTATATGCGTGCTGTTGTGTATTTACGCTGTGTATATGCGTGCTGCTGTCTATGTGCGCTGTGTATATGCGTGCTGCTGTGTATGTACGTTGTGTATACGCGTGCTGTTGTGTATTTACGCTGTGTATACGCGTACTGTTGTGTATTTACGTTGAGTATACGCGTGCTGTTGTGTAGTTACGCTATGTATACGCGTGCTGTTGTGTGTTTACGTTGTGTATACGCGTGCTGTTGTGTATTTACGCTGTGTATACGCGTGCTGTTATTTCACGCTGTGTATACGCGTGCTGTTGTGGATGTACGCTGTGTATATGCGTGCTGCTGTGTATGTCCGCTGTGTATACGCGTGCTGTTGTGTGTATTTACGCTGTGTATATGCGTGCTGCTGTGTATGTACGCTGTGTATATGCGTGCTGCTGTCTATTTACGCTGTGTATATACGTGCTGTTGTGTGTTTACGCTGTGTCTATGCGTGATGTTGTATAGTTACGCTGTGTATATGCGTGCTGCTGTGTATTTACGCTGTGTATATGCGTGCTGCTGTATGTGTACGCTGTGTATATGCGTGCTGTTGTATGTTTACGCTGTGTATATGCGTGCTGTTGTGTATGTACGATGTGTATTATGTTCTGCTGACGTTGTGTATTTACGTTGTGTATTATGTTATACTTACGTTGCGTATGTACGCTGTGTTTTACGTACGGTTAAGATTTTCGTTTGATGGGTCTGTGATCACCATCCTCCCTCGTGGCCGCCTTCATGCCAACGATCTGACTCTCAAGAGCGACGCCGCATCTGTGAACATGTGACTCTGGTCCGACGTTCTTTGGCGAATCGTTCAAGGGCACGGCGGATCCTTCAGTGCTCGCTTTTGCACTGAGCGGTCCGATGCATAGTCGCTTCATGTGTACAAAGGGTTGGGCACGTCTCTGGGTAATTTGACGGCCCCGAGGCCTGGTAAGGGGCCCTGGAGGCCGACAAGAGCGGAGAGCCTCCACTTGAGATTCTTCACACAACGCGAGGGGGCCTGGCTCTGGGACGACAGAGGCGAGGGAGGACGAGGGAGGAGGGAGGAGGGAGGAGGGAGGAGGGAGGAGGGAGGAGGGAGGGAGGAGGAAGGAGGAGGAGGAGGAGGAGGAGGAGGAGGAGACGGAGGAGGAGGAGGAGGAGGAGGAGGAGCAGGAGCAGGGAGGAGGAGGAGGGAGGAGCAAGCATGAGAGCAGGAGGAGGAGGAGCAGGAGCGAGGAGGACAAGGAGGAGGAGGAGGAGGAGCAGGAGGAGGACGACGAGGGAGGAGGGAGCAGACGAGAGGGAGGGGACGAGGAGGAGGAGGAGGAGGAGGAGGAGACGGAGGAGGACGAGGGAGGAGGGAGCAGGAGGCAGAAGGAGGGAGGAGTCGGGACGAGGTGTGGCCAGGCGCTGGCAGCCGACGGCGGCGGCCCCCGCGGGCGCTCCCCGGCCAGGCCCCGCTCCGTGTGCGCCCGCGGCCCACCCCGGCAGGGCCCGCCGCGGGGCGCCGAGGCCGCCGCGGCCGAGGCCGCGGAGCCGCCGCCCCGCGCGGCTTCGGGGCGGCCCGCCGGGAGCGCTGGCGCCGCCGCGCCGCCGCGGCCGCCGCGCCAGGCCCTACCTGTCCAGGGCTGCTAGCCCAGACGCCCCTCGAGTCATGGAAGAATCGCGACGGGAGGTTTTTCGCCAGGTTCGGCCTCGGGGGGCCCTTGCCGGCCCCTGGGGCCGTCAAAAAAAACGGCCCAGGAAGAAAAACTGGTCCCGCGGAATGGGTCGAGACCTCTGGGGGTCGACGTTGACGTCTGGGGTCTGGGAAAGGTGCCCCTAGCCCAAGGTGCCCCGGGCTTTTCGCTCCATGTTGGAGCCCCTGGGGCCCTCTGGGCCTCGTGAGGGGTGCTCTGGAGGCCGTGGGGGCCTCCATCCTGGGGGCACCTTGGGCCAAAGGCACCTCTGGCAACACCCGAAGACCTGTACGCCAGCGGGTTGTTCGGGGACGCCCGGTTGGAGGCGCCGAAGCCGCCCCGGCCGAAGCCGCTGCCGCCGCCCGCGCCGAAGCCGCCGCCGCCGCCGCCCGCCCGCGCCGGGAGGCCGCCCCTCGGCTCGTCGGGGGGGCTCCCGCGAGGCGGAGCGCCGGGGGCCCTGGCGCCCCCGCCCAGCAGCGGGTTGCCCGCCGACGTCTCGTTGGATGTGCTAAAGTTGCCTCCGCCGAAGCCGCCGCCGCCGCTGCCTCCTAAGCCTCCCGTGGAGCGCAGCTGCCGCACTGCCGGCGTCGCCGAGCCCGCTGGGGGACCTCAGCATCGCCAGACCTGTCCCCCCCCCCAGCGGGCCAGGGCTCCTCCGCGGCACCAGCCTGACGGCCCCCTCGAAGGATGGGGGGTGAGCGCCGCGGAGCCCGACGGGGACGGCGCACATCCCCCCACCGAAGGGGGGCAGGGTCAGCCAGCGGGGCTGAATCGGAGAAGGGCCGATCGAGACCAAGGCGGCCCTCCCGCTGGGACCGAATGCGCTCAAGATCCGTCCCCAGCCCGCTTCGCCGGCGCGAACCCAGCCGTGGCGATGACAAGACCCCACGGGGCCCGAACAGGACGAGACAGGGCTTAATTAGGAGGGCAGCCGTCGTCTCGACCTCTGGGCCCCCCCCCCACCGAGCCAGGGCTCTCCTGCATGGTGGCGGAGGGGCGAGCGCAGGCCCAAACCCCCGACGTCATGATTTTTGCACGACGCGACCCCCAGAGGTCGGGACCCGTTCCCCAGGACCGGTTTTTCATCCTGAGTCGTTTCTTCACGGTCCTGGAGGCCGGTGAGGGCCCCCGCAGGCCGAAAATAGGGAAACACCTCCCGTCGTGATTTCTTCATGAGTCGAGGGGGTCTGGGGGGATGGGTCTCGCGATGCGAATCAGACCCGCGCCGCGCCCACCGAACCGCGAGTCGCCGAGCCCGCCGCCGCGCGGCGCCGCGCCGCCGCCCCGCGGCAGCGGGCTGGACGGGCTCGACCTCGCTGGCCCAGCGGGGCGCAGCCGGGCGGCGCCGCTGAGGGCGCCGCCGTGCCGGGCCCCGCCCGAGGGGCGCCCTCGGGCGCCGCCTGCAGGAAAACGACGAAGGACACAAGCATAAAAGCTCGGAGGTCCGCGCGGACTTCTCGGATCGGCGCCCTGGGCCCCCTGTGGGCGCCTCCGGCGCCGCCCCCGGCGCGCTCCGCGCGCCAGAGAGGGGGGTCCAGCGCCGATCCGACAAAAAAACGCGCGGGCCTGCGAGCTTTTCTGTTTACCTCATTCTTCGTTCCCCTAGCCTGGGACGGCGCCCGCGGCGCCCCACTGGGGCATCGGCGGCGCTCCCTTGGAGGCCTTAATGGCCTGCCGCAGCGCCATGCTCTCCTCGCGCCAGTTGGTCCGCGGCGGCGGCGGCGCGGGCTTGCAGGCCAGGCCGCTCTGGATGCTGCCGGCCATGCCTCGGGCCTTGCCCTTGCTGCTGACGGCGGCGGCCACGCCGATGACGTCGCCCTCCGAGCCGCCGGCGCAGTAGGAGCGCTGCACCTGGAAGACCCTGCGCGGCTTCTTGCTCAGCTTCTGGCAGATGGCCTGGTGCTTCGCGACCCTGTCCAGCGCGAACTTCCGGCTGCAGATCCGGCACGCGATCCGCCCCTCGGCGTCGTCGAACTCCGCGGGCCCGGCGGCGCTGGCGCCGCCCCCGAGGGGCCGATCGTCCCGGGGGGCAGAGCGCGAGCCTGTCGGGGGCGCGGCCGCCCTGCCGGCGGGGCCGCCCTTCTCCTGCCGGTCCTCGGATGGGCCGGGCTTCCACAACCACCACCATAGGCAGGAGAGGGAGGAGGAAGGAGGAGGAGGAGGAGGTAGGAGGAGGAGAAGGTAGGAGGAGGAGGAGGAGGAGGAGGAGGAGGAGGAGGAGGAGGAGGAGGAGGGAGGAGGAGGAGAGGAGAAGGTCGGAGGAGGAGGAGGGGAAGGTCGGAGGAGGAGAAGAAGGTAGGAGGAGGAGGAGGAGGAGGAGGAGGAGGAGGAGGAGGAGGAGGAGGAGGAGCAGGAGCAGGAGCAGGAGGAGGGGAAGGAGGAGGAGGAGGAGGAGGAGGAGGAGGAGGAGGACCTCCTCATCCTCCCCATGACAGTGGTGGTGGGAAACTGGCCCATCGTCCTTCTCCCTGTCCAGGCGCCGCTGCAGAGCGGCGCTCTGCCCCGTGGGGGCAGCGCCGGCAGCCTTCGCCTCGCGGCACCGGAGGATGTGGCCGTCCATCTCCAGCATGGGCACCCCGGCCTGGCAGTAGGGGCACGGGTGCAGCTGGACGCCCACCTTCTCCCTGCAGACCTGGAGCTGTGCTTTTTGCACCAAGGACATCCCCAGGATGCCCCAGTAAACGCTTCGTAATTCTCAAACAGTTGTCGCAACATTCTCAACGAATGCTGTCTCAAAAACATTATATATATATGAAAAATATCCCGGCAAAGCAACCTAACAGCGATGTGTAGGAGCATATCTGGAAGCATTCCCCTTAAGATTCAGATGAGAATCCAGTTGTAGAATTCTGCTGTTCTCACAGTCGTAGTCGCATTCGCGATGACAGTCGCAGTGGCAACGGCAGTCGCAGCCTCAGCCTCAGCCTCAGCCTCAGCCTCAGCCTGCCTCAGCCTCAGCCTCAGCCTGCCTCAGCCTCAGCCTGCCTCAGCCTGAGCCTCAGCTCTGACTCGTCGGCCTCAGGCCTCGGCCTCAGCCTCAGCCTGCCCCACATCACCCTGCAGCAGTCGCCTCACCACGCCTTAGCCGCCTGCAGCCCTGCCTCAGCCTCAGCCTGCTCAGCCTCAGCCTCAGCCTCAGCCTGCCTCAGCCTCAGCCTCAGCCTCAGCCTCAGCCTGCCGCTGCCTCAGCCTCAGCCTGCTTCAGCCTCAGCCTCAGTCTGCCTTCAGCCTCGGCCTCAGCCTCAGCCTGCCTCAGCCTCAGCCTGCATCAGCCTCAGCCTCAGCCTCAGCCTCAGCCTGCCTCAGCCTCAGCCTGCCTCAGCCTCAGCCTCAGCCTGCTTCAGCCTCAGCCTCAGTCTGCCTTCAGCCTCGGCCTCAGCCTCAGCCTGCCTCAGCCTCAGCCTGCATCAGCCTCAGCCTCAGCCTCAGCCTGCCTCAGCATCAGCCTGCCTCAGCCTCAGCCTCAGCCTGCCTCAGCCTCAGCCTCAGCCTCAGCCTCAGCCTTCAGCCTCAGCCTCAGTCTGCCTTCAGCCTCGGCCTCAGCCTCAGCCTGCCTCAGCCTCAGCCTGCCTCAGCCTCAGCCTCAGCCTCAGCCTGCCTCAGCATCAGCCTGCCTCAGCCTCAGCCTCAGCCTGCCTCAGCCTCAGCCTCAGCCTGCTTCAGCCTCAGCCTCAGTCTGCCTTCAGCCTCGGCCTCAGCCTCAGCCTGCCTCAGCCTCAGCCTGCCTCAGCCTCAGCATCAGCCTGCCTCAGCATTCAAAATGTGGCCCGGGAATTGAGTTCTGGGAACTCGAAGAACACGAAGTGGCCTACAGTTGGCTCCGGGCATTCAGAATCATGCCCAGGAATGGAGTTCTGGGAACTCGAAGACCACGAAGGTGGCCTACAGTTGGCTCCGGGCATCCAAAATGTGGCCTGGGAATGGAGTTCTGGGAAGTCGAAGAGCACGAAGTGGCCTACAGTTGGCTCCGGGCATTCAAAATGTGGCCCGGGAATGGAGTTCTGGGAGGTCGAAGAGCACGAAGTGTGTGAGTGTTTGCTGAAAACGAGCCCGGTCCTCGCCTGTCCGGCTCCCGCCCAGACCCCCCTGGGGAGTCATCAGATGCTCTCTTTTGACTCCATTAGAAACCTATCAGTCTTCGCTGTTAGGCAACAACAAAAAAAAACAACTACGATTTGGGCCTCCTCGGGCTTTCCCGGGACGCCTCTCGGACCTCTCTTGGGGCCTTTTGGAGGCCTCCTGGGAGCGTGAAGAGCCGTCCACAGGGCGTTTTGGACTGCTTGGGAGCGTCTTGGGCCGTTCTTTACGTTCTGGAAGCTTCTTGGGGTCGTCATAGGCTGTCCTTCGGCGTCTTGGGGTCTCCCCAAGAAGCCGGGAGGCGCGGTACCGGTCGGATGTCAGGGGATTTGTAGGACCCCCGAGTAGGACTTCCACTTTGAACAAACAAAAACCTTGGAATTCCCTTTTTGTTTTAATCCTCGATCTTTGAGGGATGGAAGCAGGGAAACGTGAGAAGGCCAAAAACTAAGCCATTGGAAATCAACGATGTTACCCTCTTTGGGCTCTCTCGGGACGGCTCGCGCAGCTCTCTTGGGCTGTTCTTGGAGCCTTGTCGGGGTGTCTTTGGGGCCTCTCAGGGATCGGGGGTGCGTTGGGAGCCTCTGGGTGGTCCCGGAGGCCTCTCTGAGGTTTCTGGAAGCCTCCTGCTCCCGCTCTTGGGCCCATCTTGGGCCTGTTCTGGGGTGGTCTGGGGCTGTCCTGGGCGCCTCTTCGGCAGTCTTGGAGCCTTCTTGGCCCGTCTTGGGGTCGTCCTGAGGGTCTCTTGGGTGGTCTTGGGGCGGTCTCAGCAGCCTCTTCGGTGCTCTTGGACCGTTGGAAGCTCGACAAGGCGAGAAGCCAAAAGCATGAAAAACAATCAAAATTGACGAGTTTGGCCTCTTCGGGCCGTCCAGGGAGGCCTCTCGAACCTCTCTTGGGGTCTCTTGGAGGCCACCTGGGAGCTCGAGAGCCGTCCGAAGGCTGCCTTGGGCCGCCTGGGAGGCGCCTTGGGCCCTCCTGGAGCGCTGCGGAGGCTCCCCGGCACGGCCGGGGGAGCAGTACCAGGAGCGTCCCCGAGATGCCGCGGGGAGGTGTGGGACCCGGGTCCGGGGGGACAGTATTCATATATATATGTGTGTGTATATACACCTGTATATATATAGGCGAATATGTATATGTATACACACATACATATACATATATATATATATATACATACATATACATATACATATGCATACACACATACATACATACATACATGCATGCATACATACATTACATTGCATTGCATTGCATTGCCTTGCCTTGCCTTGCATTGCATTGCATTGCATAGCATTGCATTGCATTGCATTAACTTACATTACATTACAATACATTACATGACATTACATTACATTACATTACAATACATTATATTACAATACCTTACATTACATTGCATTACATTACGTTACATTACGTTACATTACATTACCTTACATTACATTACACTGCATTACATTACATACGTACATACACACATACATCCATACATACATACATACACACATACATACATACGTACATACGTGCATACGTGCATACGTACACACATACATACATACATACATACATACATGCATACATACATACGTACGTACATACATACATACATACATACATATACACATACATACATACATACATACATACATACATACATACATACATACGTACATACATACATACATACATACATACATACATACATACACACATACATACAGACATTATATACATCACATACCTACGTATCTATATACCTATATACATACATACATACATACATACATACATACATACATACATACATACATGCATGCATGCATGCATGCATGCAAGCATGCATACATACATACATATACATACAAATATATACATACATTCATGATACATACATCATACAGACATACATAAATACTAGAACCACGCGCGCGCTTCGCGCGCGCTTAGGTTCTGTCGAGTCACAGACCCAGGAATCGTTGTGAGAAGAAATTGGTGACGCGAAGCGTCGTGGGGGCGTCCTTGGACGTCTGGGGTCTCCTGGGGCCTCTTGAGGGGCCTCCTGGGGGCCTCCTGGCGGCCTCTTGGGGCGGAAGGCTCGAGCTTGCGGTTCGTGGTCCCCCTCTGGGCCCCCTCTTGGGCCCGTCTTGGGGCCCTCTTGGGCCATCTTGGGCGCCTCTTGGGCCGTCTTGGGGCCCTCTTGGGCTGTCCTGGGGCCCTCTTGGAAGCTTCTTGGGCCGTCTTGGGGCGGTCTTGGGCGCCTCTTGGGCCGTCCTGTAACGTCGGAAAGCCCAAAAAGCAACTTTGTTGAAAAATGTACGTTTTACGAAGGGAATGGGCCAATTTTTGCGTCTAGGGGCCCTCTTGGGACGCATGTTGGAGGCTTCTTGGGGCCTCTTGGGGGCGTCCTTGGACGTCTGGAGGCCATCTTCAGCATCTCGGAGCCCTCTTGGAGGCCTCTTGGAAGTTTCTTGGGCCGTCTTGGGCGCTTCTTGGGCCGTCTTGTCTGACCGGGGAGGCCTCCGGCAAGCCCCGACGAGCCTCCGGGCCCCCCGGGGCGCACATTTGTGGTCGGGGTCCCGGCCCCGGGCCCCCGGACCCGGTGTGGGGGCCTCCTGGCGGCCTCTTGGGGCGGAAGGCTCGAGCTTGCGGTTCGTGGTCCCCCTCTGGGCCCCCTCTTGGGCCCGTCTTGGGGCCCTCTTGGGCCATCTTGGGCGCCTCTTGGGCCGTCTTGGGGCCCTCTTGGGCTGTCCTGGGGCCCTCTTGGAAGCTTCTTGGGCCGTCTTGGGGCGGTCTTGGGCGCCTCTTGGGCCGTCCTGTAACGTCGGAAAGCCCAAAAGACAACTTTGTTGAAAATGTACGTTTTACGAAGGGAATGGGCCAACTTTTGCGTCTAGGGGCCCTCTTGGGCCGCATGTTGGAGGCTTCTTGGGGCCTCTTGGGGGCGTCCTTGGACGTCTGGGGTCTCCTGGGGCCTCTTGAGGGGCCTCCTGGGGGCCTCCTGGCGGCCTCTTGGGGCGGAAGGCTCGAGCTTGCGGTTCGTGGTCCCCCTCTGGGCCCCCTCTTGGGCCCGTCTTGGGGCCCTCTTGGGCCATCTTGGGCGCCTCTTGGGCCGTCTTGGGGCCCTCTTGGGCTGTCCTGGGGCCCTCTTGGAAGCTTCTTGGGCCGTCTTGGGGCGGTCTTGGGCGCCTCTTGGGCCGTCCTGTAACGTCGGAAAGCCCAAAAGGCGACTTTGTTGAAAATGTACGTTTTACGAAGGGAATGGGCCAATTTTTGCGTCTAGGGGCCCTCTTGGGACGCATGTTGGAGGCTTCTTGGGGCCTCTTGGGGGCGTCCTTGGACGTCTGGGGTCTCCTGGGGCCTCTTGAGGGGCCTCCTGGGGGCCTCCTGGCGGCCTCTTGGGGCGGAAGGCTCGAGCTTGCGGTTCGTGGTCCCCCTCTGGGCCCCCTCTTGGGCCCGTCTTGGGGCCCTCTTGGGCCATCTTGGGCGCCTCTTGGGCCGTCTTGGGGCCCTCTTGGGCTGTCCTGGGGGCTTCTTGGGCCGTCTTGGGGCGGTCTTGGGCGCCTCTTGGGCCGTCCTGTAACGTCGGAAAGCCCAAAAAGCAACTTTGTTGAAAAATGTACGTTTTACGAAGGGAATGGGCCAATTTTTGCGTCTAGGGGCCCTCTTGGGACGCATGTTGGAGGCTTCTTGGGGCCTCTTGGGGGCGTCCTTGGACGTCTGGAGGCCATCTTCAGCATCTCGGAGCCCTCTTGGAGGCCTCTTGGAAGTTTCATGGGCCGTCTTGTCTGACCGGGGAGGCCTCCGGCCAGCCCCGACGAGCCTCCGGGCCCCGCGGGGCGCACATTTGTGGTCGGGGTCCCGGCCCCGGGCCCCCGGACCCGGTGCGCCGTTATATGTATACATGCATGCATGCATGCATACATACATGCATGCATGCATGCATGCATCCATACATACATACATGCATGCATACATACATACATACAGACATATTGCAAGCTGTCGGGCTCGCGGCTGGTCGACACACCCAGGAGGACGCAACGCGGGAATCAAGACATCATGTCACTGCGCGTGCGAACAGCTCGCCAGACGCATGCGATGGCTGCCTGGAGCCATTTGCCTTGGGAGGCCCACCCTCGCCTCGGCTGCCCCCATGCGCAACGCGCAGCCCGCAGCGTGCCGACACGGCGCTCAACACGCAGACCGACAACGTAGGTCTCACGCGGCACGTTCGCCAAAAGCCAACCACCACAACGCAATGCTTGCGGGGATTTTACTTCCCAAAGACAGTCCCATCAAATATTCACCGACTTGTGCAATCTACAATCCGGGTGGCAGTGCGAACCATATTTTTCACAACAAAAGTCCCCGCTGCACCAGCGCCGCCGGCACACTAAGGGCTCCTGCCAAAACGCTGGCCCGATAGCCGAGACGCAAAAGCAAAACATTGAAAAGCACCTGAGACACGCGGCCAGGCCAGGTAGAATGTTCAAAATCTCGAAAACAGGCCCGAGCCATATTCTGGACAAGTTTCTCCCTTGCACCGGCGCCGCCTGCACATTCAAGACTCCTGGGGCCAGAACGCTCGCCCCAGAGCCCAGAGGCAGAACCAAAACATCGAAAAGCACCTCAGACACGCAGCCAGGGCAGGCAGAGTGTTCAAAATCTCTCGAGGAAAAAAAATCCAGAACCAAATGTTTGACAAATTTCTCCCTTGCATCGGCGACGCCGGCACATTGAAGGTTCGTCTGGCCACAGCGCTGATCCCAGAGCCCAGAGGCAGAACCAAAGCATTGAGAAGCACCTCAGACACGCAGCCAGGCCAGGCAGAGTGCTCGACATCACGAAAAAAAATCCAGAACCATATGTTTGACAAATTTCTCCCTTGCGCTGCCGCCGCCAGCACAGGCTCCTCTGGCCAAACCCTGGCTCAGAGCCCAGAGGCAGAACCAAAACATTGAAAATCACCTCAGACACGCAGCCAGGCCAGGCAGAATGTTCAAAATCTCGAGAAAAAAAAAGGACGAACAAAAAGAAGTCCAGAACCATATTTTTGACAAGTTTCTCCCTTGCACCGGCGCCGCCGGCACATCTAAGGTCCGTCTGGCCAGAGCGCTGGCCCCAGAGCCCAGAGGCCGAACCAAACCGTTGGAAAGCACCTGAGACACGCGGCCCGTGCAGATGAGGATGGGTGTGCCGAGCCCCATCGCGTACATCCATCGCGCACATGCAGTCGGAGCTCCGCGTGATGGGCATCCCGCTAAGGAGGGCACGAGGGGAAGGCATTACCCCCCTGCCGCGGGCGCGACGCGGCGGGCGGCCCGCTTCGAAGCGCGCGAGGACCGACAGTCCGCCCCGCAGGTTCCTCCTCCTCCTCCTCCTCGTCCTCCTCCTCCTCCTCCTCCTGCTGCCCCTCCTCCTCCTCCTCCTCCTCCTCCTCCTCCTCCTCCTCCTCCTCCACTCCTTTTCCTTATGAATAACTCCTCCCCGCAGCACCCTGAGGCCTGTCGGAAGGGCGGCCCCGGCGTTTCACGTGAGATTTCCTCACAATCATGATCCTGAAGCTGAAGAGTTGCAATAGCTTCACGGATGAATGCGGTTCTCGTGTTGAGCGCCGCACACACCCGTTTTTTTAATTTGCCAGGGTTTCACCGGTTGAGGGCGCGCGGTGTTCAACAAGTGGATCTCGCCTCAGCGCCTCGCACAGCCGTCTTAAAAAGTGCAAGGGCAACCCAGGAGGCCTAAAAAAGGGAAACGAGGAAAGGGTAGCAGTATGGGTATATTTTCCTCCTCTGAGGGTAGGGGGAGGGGGAAGGCTTCTTAGGAGGCTGCTTCTGAATTAGAAGGCGCTGGACTCACATCTGCAGACAGGGCTCGAGCCCTCTCGAAAGCAGGCCGCCTCTGAGAAGCACGCCCAGAGCCCTGGGCCCCATCTCTTTCTGCCCTGTCCCGCTCCGACCTTCAGGTGCTTGTCGATATTGGAGGCTTGGAAATGGGCACCAACACCAACACAGGGGGTTGCCTCCACCGAGGGAAGATGATCCCAGAGTTGGGTGCTGGTGGTAATCTCTCGGCCACCCAATGAGGAAGCCCGAAGATTACCACCACCACCACCACCGAGATCGGAATCGCCATCCCTCGGTGGAAGCACACCGCCGACATTGCTGCTGGTGTCAACCTCCAGGCCTCCGACGCCATCGGGGGCGGCCAAGAGGGGGGCGTCGAAGAGGGGGGGGGGGGTGCAGATCATGGCCGGCGGCATGTGCGCGCCCCAAGGGGGGGCCAGGGGCGCAGTGAAGCAAGAAGAAGAGGCGCCATGAAATCCGGGGAACTGTCACGGCGCACGCCACGAGGCCCACCCACCCCCCAGTCCTCGCCCCCCCCCTTTCTGCCGCCCCCGACGCTGGAGTGGGGGAAGAACTTGCCGCCGCACAGCTCGCAGAGCACCACGCGCGGCGGCATCGCCGCCGCGCCCGCCGCGAGGCGGCGCGCCCCAAGGCGGCGCGCCGCGGCTCCGCGCGCCCTGGCCCTCCCGGCTCGCGGCGGGGCCCCGGGGGGGGAGGGCTCGCTCGGGCCGTGGATGCGCCCACCTCGGGCGCCGAGCGCGGGGGGCGGGGGGGGAGAGGCGGGGCGCCGGACCCCGAGATCCGACGCCGCCGCAAAAAGCAGCTGCCGCATCGCAAAAAGAAAAATCGCGGCCGGAGCCCTGGGCCCCATCGTTCTGCGTCCTGTTTTGAGCCGGATCGGTCTGTGAAGGTCCCGGAGCCCGACAGCGAGCGAAGACGCGTGCTGTGAGAGAATTGCACGCGCCAGGATCTCAGGGCACATGGGCGGGCGCCCTACGCGTCGAACGCCCTCAGGCTGGCCATGCATTCTCCTTTGACGGCGCAGCGTTTCGTTCGCGGCTCCTGCTCCCCGGACTGCGGAGGAGCACCGGAGAGGAGGAGGGGAGGAGGAGGAGGAGGAGGAGGAGGAGGAGGAGGAGGAGGAGGAGGAGGAGGAACTGGGTGTGGCGGGTGGGTTTTCGCCTCATCCCCTGACGGCGCAGCTATTTTTGTTCGCGGCGCGCGCTCCCCAGACCGCGGGCCGGCCTCTCGACCCGAGAGCCGCTCTTGCGGACGGCCCCAGGGCCACGAGGCCGAGAGCTGGGAGAAAGGGCGGCCGCCGCGACGCCCGGGCCCGAGAGCTCCGTCAGTCGGCGGCGAGCGACGGGGGGGAAGCGAGAAGGGGCGGGCCTTCTCAGAAGGCACGGAGAAAACTGGGAGGAGGAGGAGGAGGAGGAGGACGACGAGGAGGAGGAGGAGGAGGATTCCCGACGTTTCCAGAGCCCTCGCCGAAGGCACAGAGAAAACTAGGAGGAGGAGGCGGAGGAGGAGGAGGATCTCAGGAGGCGCGAGGGCTTCCGAGAAGTCCCGCAGCCTTCCGAGGAGGCCTTCTCTCCTTCTTGCTTTCCCCCCCTCGCTCGCCGCCGACCCCTCGGGGACGCACCATGGGACGCAGAGGCACAGAAGTACTTGTCTGGCGGCGCGCAGATAGGGGGGGGCAGGGGGAGGGGGGGAGGCGTCTCGGGAGGAGGCTGCTTCTCAGGAGGCGCGGGCCCTGCACCTGCAGATGAGGCCCGCGCCCTCCAGACGGCAGCCTCGCTCTGCGAAGCCCTCCCCCCCCTCCCCCCCACTGCCCCTCCCCTCTCCTCCTCCTCCTCCTCCTCCTCCTCCTCCTCCTGCTCCTGCTCCTCCTCCTCCTCCTCCTCCTCCTCCTCCTCCTCCGCCCCCCCTATCTGCGCGTGCGGCCGAGCACCAGCACCGTGTGCCGACGTTGGGAGGCACGCGTCCGACACGAACATGTGCAATGCACCAGGTCTTGTATCGTGCTGCTCCCATCGCACTTCGGGACAACACCCCAGAAATGACTTCGAGCACCCAGAAAACGAGCATCGACGCACTCCGTCGAAAGAGCATCGCCTTCCCGGGGCCCGACATGTGAAAGCCCGCAAGTTTCGGTACTGTCTTGGTGCTCGAAAAGTCTTTCTGGTAATCAGGGATAAAGAAGGTTGGAGCACCACAAATCTTGTATTAGGTCGGGCATGTCGACACCGACCCGGGTCCGCACAGACCCGTCCGGGGATCTTCTGGTCCGGGTCAGTCCATAGGGGAACGAACACTGACATAAACATAAAAATTCTGAGGTCCGCGCGGATTGCTCGGATCGGCGCTGGACCCCCATCCCTGGCGCGCGGAGCGCGCCAGGGGCGGCGCCCGAGGCGCCGCCAGGGGGGTCCAGCGCGGATCCGAGAGATCCGCGCGGACCTCCGAAATCGTAAATTTATATCAGTGTTTGTTCCCCTATACCAGACCTGGGTCAGTCAGGCCTTGCAGAATCCTGCAAGATCCTGCCAGATCCTGCTCTCAGACCAGGGTCCCAGCGCGAAGGATCCTGCAAGATTCCTGCAGGATCCTGCACCCAGATCCAGGTCAATACGACCCTGGCCCTGCAAAATCCTGCAAGATCGGGCGCTCTGGCTGAGCCCCGTTTGCATTGACCCCCGTCTCTTGAACTCCAAGCCCGGGTCGGTCATGGCAGCCCAGCCGGCGACTCCCTCATGAATCGGCCCCTGGGGCCAATGTATCAAGTCGCCTCGTCGGAAGGCGGGGGGGTCGGCTTCTCAAGGCGATCTCGCGTGCCCGAAGCCACGGGGGGCCGGACTATCAAGGAACTTGTTGTACCGCTGTTTCGGCATGGACATTCATCTTACAATTTCGTTTTTGATCCGCGGGTCGAGAGCGCACCTCTTCCGGTCGAAGCTAAGCGGGCCGCGCACAGCTTTAATTGACAGAGGGGGGAAGGCAGAAGGAGGGGCCTCACGTCAAGGCCAGACATTCATCATACAACCCGCCACCATCACCGCTGAGCCCCGCTTGCACTGACCCCCGTCTCTTGGGCCCCGACGATCCTCCCCCGTCACCCGCCCAGCGTCGCGAAATCTGGCCGTGGGCACGCCTCGGCGCGGGCGCCGCCAGCGCCCGGGCCGCCTCCGCCGCGGCCGCTCGGAGGGGCAGAGGGGGGGGCGGAGGGCTCCGCTGGCCGACTCCTCCTTCCTCCTCCCACTGCTTCCCTCCTCCTCCCTCCTCCTCCCTCCTCCTCCTCGTCCTCCTCCACCTCTTCGTCCTCCTCCCTCCTCCCTCCTCTCCCTCCTCTTCCTCTTCCTCCTCCTCCTCCTCCTCCTCCTCCTCCTCCTCCTCTTCATCCTCCTCCACCTCCTCCTCCTCCTCGATGTCTCTTCCTCCTCCTCCTCCTCCTCCTCATCATCATCATCACCATCACCACCATCATCACCATTATCATCATAATCACCACTACCACCATCATCATCATCATCATCATCATCATCATCATCATCAGCATCATCAGCATCATCATCATCATCATCATCATCATCATCATCATCATCATCATCATCATCATCATCATCATCATCATAATCATAATCATCAGCATCAGCATCATCAGCATCATCAGCATCATCATCAGCATCATCATCATCATCATCGTCATCATCGTCATCATCATCATCACCACCACCACCACCACGACCACCACCACCACCACCACCACCACCATCATCATCATCATCATCATCATCATCATCCCATTTCTTCCCTCCTCCCTCTTATTCCCTCCTCCTCCGCCCTCCTCCTCCTCAAATATCCCAAATATGATAAATAAGATTGTTCGACGTCCGATGCTTCTCCATCTTATTATTATTATTCCCCAATCAGAGCTTGCCTCTGTAGGGGTCCTAGCGGATTCATATGGTTAGGTTAGGTTTGCCGCCGATTTTCGCCGCACGCCCGGTTGCCCGGGTGCCCAGGGGCGCCCGGGGGTGAGGTTGGCTGCCGATTTTCGCTGCGCGCCAGGGTGCCCGGGGGGTGCCCGGGGGTGCCCGGGTGCCCGGGGGCCCGGGGGCCCAGGTGCCCGGGGGTGCCCGGGGGTGCCCAATAGCCCTATATAGCCCTATAGCCCTATATCCCCATAGCCCAATAGCCCGATAGCCCTACAACTCTATAGCCCTACAGCTCTATAGCCCTATAGCTCAATAGCCCGATAGCCCCCTAGCCCCCTAGCCCTACAGCCCTGATTGGGGTTTGTCTCTGGTATCATTACTATTATTGTGAATAGTGATCCCCTTATCCGTTTCGCAATTTGACTCTCACTATTGTGTGTGTGTCTTAGTATATGCAGTAATACTGCATCGGCGATAAGAGGATCGTCATGATCATTAATCATAATGTTAGCCTGATTTGAATTAGTAGTACTACTACGCTTATTGGCGATATCAATACTAATTGCACTTAGAATGTACATGAACAATTCGTAGACTTCGTACTACTTCTACGACTACTACGACCACCACGACTACGACTACGACTACAAATACACCTACTACTCCTACGACGACTACTACTACTACTACTACTACTATCACGGCGGCTGCTGCTGCTACTATCACTACTACAACTACTACTGTTAACACTACAACTCCTACTACTACTACTACTACTACTACTGCTACCACTACTACTACTCCTACTACTACTCCTACTACTACTACTACTACCACCACTATCACTACCACGACTACACCTACAATTACTACTACTACCACCACCACTACCACTACCACTACTACTACTACTACTACTACTACTACTACTACTACTACTACTCCTACTCCTACTACTCCTACTACTACTACTACTACTACTACTACTACTACTACGACTACTACTACGACTACGACTACGACTACGATTACGACTACGACTACGACTACTGCTACTATTATTACTACTGCTACTACTGTAGTAGTACTACTACTACTACTACTACTACTACTACTACTACTACTACTACTACTACGACTACTATACTAATACTACTACTACTACTACTACTACTACTACTACTACTACTACTACTACTACTACTACTAC